GACCGGCGTCAAGTGGAAGTATAATACTTTCGCGTTTCGTCTGGTGAGAGAGGTAGCCACAGCCCAATTTACAAAATCCTCGGGTGTAGCAGATGTCCGTGGGCGACGGTGTTCAGTTAGCATCAGGTGAACCGTCTGCTCGTTTGCCAACTTTTCTCATAAAAAAAAAGAATGAGTTGATCGATCCCAAGCTATTTCTAAAAGGAAACAAAATCAGTTGTATAACATTTTTTTAAGAAAAAAAAAGTTTTTCTTTCTTCTGTTTCTTCTCCGCTAGAGGAACCACATTACGAAACGGTGGTAGATAAAAAAATATGACTATCGATAGATGAAATGTAATTTTCTTATGTGGATGAATAAATGATTTTGATTTTTTCATTTTTTTAAACAAACACCTGCGTTAATTGGAAGTATTGTTCTTTCGCGTTTCGTCCGGTGAATGATCCAGGGCCCACTTTTTTATTGTTAACAACGCATCTCTTGAAGATCTATCTATGGGGCCAATAGGTGCTTTGGTCCTTGATTTATGCCCATAAAGTAAAAGCCCATAAATGTCCCACTGTTGGTCCACCACGCGACCTCACTGCGGATTGGCGGACTTCACATATTTTCGAAATATTTGTTTTTTTTTATAATTATTTCGAAAATATGATTCAGTATTTTAAATTCTTTGCAAATCATTTAATGGAAGAATAATACAAAAGGGTCCGTAATAGCGCCCACTCAGTAAATTTTATTCAGTTTTTGCAAAATTTCAAAAGGTAATTTTCTTAATAAACGGTCACTTCACTGTTCGAAGAAAAATGTATCAATGACCGTTTTTTCAATGGAAATGCGAAGCGCCCCACGAATTCAATGGTCTAATGAAATGATACTTTAAACAATAAGCAATAGCATAATAAGAGTTCTACTTTTTTATTTTCCTTTGCCGCCGCTTTTTTAGAAGCACGGATAGACAATTGATTCAGAGCTACCTCATTATTAACCTATTTGTGTCGATCATGAAGATATGTAGCCTAGTAGTTTTAGTTTTGATATTTAAAATATAAATCACTTCGTACTTAAATAGAGTATATTTAATTTAGTCAGAACCGCAATACTCCTAACGTTTTGGTTGGTGACACAAATGGCTGGAGCAAAATCACCACGTTGTGGAAATTCTTCCCCGTCAGGTAGTTCTGTAGCAAATTAACCCAGTTTCTTCGAGTCCCTAAGCCGGAGCGATTTAATGGAGACTTTCAAACGGAGCAATCGAGAGGAGGTAATCGAATTTGTTATCCTTTTTCTTCCGACATAAAGAAAAAGAAAGATTTAACATCAGCAACCCAGAAATAATAAGGATTTATTTTCTATCTATGTTAACATCAAAGAGTAGTATTTTAATAAATGTGTATATTCTGTAAATTCTAAGATGATTCAGCAGATTCTATAAACATTGTGAAACGCTACATTTTAAGACTAAAGATGACATGTTATATTGACTGTTGTTATAATAAATTATTAAATGTTCTTTTTTTTAAATCGTATTGTAAAATGTGAGCCATGTAGTCATTGCATGTATTCAGAACATTATAACAAGACCCGTGATAGCCTAATATCCGGGAAAATCAATGAAGTTATTAATTTTAAGTGCTGACGTATCATCAAGTGCTCAGCGGTGAACGAAAACATCGTTAGGGCACCTGTTATGTGAAGCGAAGATATGTAAAGTCCGCCATTCCACAGTGGGGTCACGTGAGGAGATCTTTGACCAGCCGTGAGACATTTGTTATGTACCTATAGACAGTTACTTTACTTTCTTACTGCAACATGTGAAATTGAAGGTAGCTCAGGTTTTCCTACCCATAATGCGAACAAAAGAATGATGAGAACGCTCGCATTAACTTCTATAATAAGTTACCTTTATTAAAATTAGTCTTCGCTCAGAGGCTTTGATTAGTCAACTCATATTAATTAAATATAAGTATAAGTAAGAAGATTATTATTATTAAGATTATACGGTAAAACTTTCTAAAAACGATATTTATAAATATTTTGTAACTCACTTCACATATTCAACAATATAATTTAAAAACGCATCATTCCTGGACAAAGCATTTAGATATTTTGTTAAAATAAACTAGTATGTTTTTTTTTTCAATTGCCATCTATGGTACTTCTTTATAACCACAGATAACTTTTAAGTGAGTGGGTCTCGGATACCTTACGCATCTAACGGCATAAAAGTATACTTATATATACAGGGAGACTTTTTTAAAGGTGCCCAAATTTACACAGGAGGTTCAGACACGATAGTATAATCGTTTATTGAAATAAAAGCACTTTTTTTTTCAAAAAAATTCTATTCCCTAAAAAACAGAAATTGTTGACAACGCGGTAGTCATTCATAAATACCTAAATTTTACTGTTCACGCACACAAACGAAATTGTGTGCGTGTAGTTATGAATGATCGCGTGTAAAATAAATGAGTTGCATATAAATCAGGCACTTTTTGAGATAAGTTCAAATGAATGTAATTAATTACTTACGAGTAATTTAAAATATTTATCATTCTTATATAACTTTACTAATGTCTAGAATTTAATTAAAAAATGGATACACTTAGAAAAGCCTCCCTGTATACAAAGACAAAAATGTCTTTATTCAACATAGGACTCAATTTAAGCTGTTATTCAACGTCAAAAGAAACTTAACACTGTGATCTTGCTATCTCTTTTTTTTTAATGAATAAAGTATACAATATTATTGAAGTATAAAATCAACAGCAGCCAGCAAGTGCAGAGCAGTAGTCGTTTCCACACCTCCTTGTCCTCAATCTTCGACATTATAATAGGCCCTTGCCATTAGAGTAGCTTTTATAAAAACTTAAGGATGATACATCAAACATACAAACTGTATTCGATAATTTTCTTCCTTAGTCAACCTGGTTTATTCACCGTGGTTCATGAAACAAACAGAACTTTTACGTGGCTTCAAAACAGTATAGTAAAATGGACGACACAGAAATTTGAACCTTCGTCATTAGAATCGCAAATCCAGTGTCTCGGATAATATATCACTTCTTTATTGTTTGTTGCTCATCATTATATAAATAATAAACAGCCGAGGATAGAAAGTAATGGGACTAAAGTTTGTTGAGGCCCTTTTAGGACTTTTACAATATTTTCCTTGTAATGTTAACAAATTCTTTTTGCCATCTATTTTCCGTTACACATTTATACGGATTAAAATATGCCTTTTTTCTGGTCGTGATTTATTTTGAAATTACTCTTAGAATATTTTATCGAATGATAGTATATTTTAGATTTGATAATATATGTACGGAACTAGATAAGGCTTTGGGGCAGATATTTTATATTATTTAATATGGCTACTTAGCTCCCGGCATTTCGTAATGATTTATGATACTAGTAACGGGACAGAATATGTTATGCCCGTTCCAACTATTTGGTGTTCTAATTATATTTTGTTGCCCACGCAACAGATTTCGCAGTTGTACGAATGGGCAAGCGCTTCCGGGGAAGTACCACTTATAAGAGCAGCGTAAAGTGAAAGTTATACCTTTGCGTTTCGTCTGGTGGGTCTGTTAAAAAAGGGCTGATTGTTGTTGTCCATGGGATGCAATAATCTCTTTTATCATGTGAACCACCTGTTTGCTTGGCATCTTGTCACTGAAAATATTACGTACACAGTGCTGAATTTTAGCCAAGTTTACTTACACAAACGATTTATTAGAACTCCCTCTGTGGTAATACGGGTAATACGAAAGGAGAAGCAAAGACAAACAACATCTGTGCGCAAAGCCAAAGCGAAAACTGGTGAATACTAAATCGTCGATGATTTGGCCATAAAATATCTTTTCTACCTATCACCAATCATCATTACATAATAGGTATAGACATTCGTATAGGTTTATATGAACAAAACATTACTCTTGTGTGAAATACTATATAAAAGTCAAGGCACTTTGCCTTTATTACATTTTTTCTTGGCCATATATATATTCAACAATTTACAACGCTTTAAATTTATTTTATTTAACATAGTTCTCACCACGAAGAAAAAAGTAACTTACCTTTGCAAATACTTGTTGCAGGCGTGAAACTGAAAAAGAAAAACGAAAAGTATCATTATTTGTATAAATAATATTTCTTATAAATTGGATTTTGGATGATATGTTTTTTCCGAGAAAAATTCTCAAAAAGATTAGGTTTTCATTAGGTTAGGTTAACATTTTGTTACAAGTAATGTTATCACTTCCCTTGTAACAAAAAAAAAATTAAAGCCTAAAATTTATAAAAAAGGAAAAATACGTCAAGCACGCACACCATCCAAAAAGCGTAACAACGATAATTAAACATAACGTCCAGTTTGTGTTATTATAACTGTTATTGCAACAGGCTGACACTTTTTACGAAATAGTTACCACAGTAAAAACAACTACACAAACAGCTATTACATTTAAGTAGTGATGTTAAAAAAAGGACTTAGTGGACGGCTCCACTAGCGTGAGTTTTTCGATGTCTGCGATAATTCAGTATTCCTTCGGTTTAAACCTATCACAAAGAAAATCGTGCTTTATGAAGAAGTTACCAATTTCACTTTTATACCGATGAAGTATATGACACAATGGAAATATTACAAATTTTGTACCGATAAAGTATCTCAATGGAAATATTACATACCAAATCATTACTGCTTTGATTCGTAAAAGAGAGATAAACTTACAATAACATTATACTCGTGCTTCGTCCTCAAGATTAGTAAAGTTATGTTATTTAATTGAACACATGTAATAACGCGTAAGTGATACCACTTCAGCACTATAGTTTAGAAACCTTTGAAAAAAAAAAGTAATAATCTTTGTCTATGGTTATGGCATCTTATTTTTTACTACCTACTAAATCCACTTTGTAGGGACAGTCCGATGGATCATCATTCGCAGTTTAGTGCTTGACCACTTCACACCTCTCGTTCCGTGTTCTCGCGTGCAGTAATCATGCCGAAACGTGGCAAGAATTATTTTGATATTGAATTTATAGCGAAAAAATTGCGGAAATTAGAAAAAGAAGTGAAACGATCGCGGAGTGAAAATCATAGCGTTTTTCGATTAAGTTCGTCATCTTCGTCATCTTCTTCGAGTGATTCATCCGTACATCGATCATCGAGGGAATCATCACCAGAATTAGAAAATTTAAATCGTGAGTACTGAATTCATTTCAGAATAGTCTCAGGGACTATATGCGTGTATTTAAAATATCGATAACGTTTACTATTGCACCAGAATAGTCTGAGGGACTATTTCGCCGCATTGATATAATAACGTTACGGTATTAATATTGCATCAGAATAGTCTGAAGGACTATTTCGTCGCATTGAATATAATATTGATCTTGAAATTGCATCAGAATAGTCTGGAGGACTATATCGACGCTATTTCATTTAGTACCCTTTTTTATGGTGTTGAATTTGCATCAGGATAGTTTAAGGGACTATTCCGCCGGATTCAAACAAAAAACGTTATAGAATTAAAATTTATAATTAAATCGAAAAAGTACAATCACCGGCAATTATATCGATTATGCACCAGGGTTATCAAAAGGATTACACCGCTGCATTAACCGATTATTTTGTCGCTTTGTTCATCTGACTAGTGGGCTCTCCAAAAACTCGTATCATATATTTATTATGATTAAGTTACTGGACCACGTTTTTTTTCTTAAACATTACTCTCCTTGTTGTAGGCCAGGATGTAACCAATATCTCCAGCCCGCAGCCGCCAGCGAATACCACGGATCCACTACCTTATCAAACTGAAAATCAGATTGAATCTGAAACGAACGCTGAAATATTAGATATTTTGGGTGTAGATCCATCGGTGACATTAGAATATGGGGCTGATATAAATAAAGATGTGGCTACTAGATTAACTCATATAGCCACTATGGGCCTAAACAAAGATATGCGGAAGGAATTAGTTAATAAACACCTAATTCCGGCCAATTGCACCAATATAGCCGCGCCTCTGCTCAATCCAGAGATTAAAGCGGCTCTTTCAGAGCAAGTGCTCAAGAGAGACAAAGCTATCGAAACTAGACAAAAACAAATTGCTGCTGGTATTACCCACTTGGGAAAAATCATTTCTGATCAGCTTAACTCCAAAGAGATGAATAATAACCTAATAAAAGATCTCATGGATGTCAGTCGTATTTTTTGCGACATTCAGCACTCTGAATCAGAAGCGAGGCGCAACTTTGCCCTCTATTCGGTAAAAAAGGACTTGAAAGATCAAATATCGACAACGAAGATTGACAAATACCTATTTGGTACGAGTCTTTCTGAATTTTTGAAAACTGCAAGGGCAGTTTCAAAATCCAGCACCGATTTAAAACCAGATCCACCTAAAAAATCCAAACGCCCTACACCCAGTACATCTAACCAAAAGAATTTAAACTGCAAGGCGAGGACCTCGGCTCGCAGACGGCCGCCGGTCCCACCGCCACGTCACCAGTTGTCTGCGACGACGTCGAGCGTACCGCCAACACCTCGAGGGAGCTCATCGCAAGCTTATGCACAGCGACAGAAGCAAACCCGCCGTCGCTAGATCAGGTACCCTATGCTGATAGACTTGCTAAATTTTACAAACAATGGTCCTTAATAACACGGGACCGTAACATACTTTCGTGGGTTAAAGGCTATAAAATAAAATTGGAGTGTCCAGTTTACCAAACCATTATTCCAAAAGAAAATACCTTTTCTGAGGCTGAAATCGCTCACTTGACGGATACTCTCAACAACTTATTATCAATCGGAGCTATTTCAAAATGCGAGCCTTGCAATGGGCAATTTATTTCACGCATTTTCTTAGTGCCTAAACCGAATGGAAAAATGAGAATGATATTAAATTTGAAAAATTTAAATAAATTCATTCGTACAAAACATTTCAAATTGGAGGACATTCGCACAGTTGTTAAACTTATTTCCAATGAAGATTATATTGCGACTCTAGACCTGAAAGACGCATATTTTTTAATTAAAGTCCGTTCAAAGTTTCGTAAATACCTTAGATTTATAATAAATGGACAAATGTATGAATTTAATGTTCTTCCATTTGGAATATGTACAGCTCCCTTTATTTTTACAAAAATAATGAAGCCAATCATAAGCCTGTTACGGTCTTACGGTTGTGTATTATCGGTACATTTAGATGATATATTTATAACAGGAAGTACTTATAAACAATGTTTGCATAATATAAAAATTACAAAAATGTTATTAAAATCTTTAGGTTTCATTACAAACGAAGAGAAAAGTTCTCAAATCCCTTCAAAATCGTGCAAATATCTTGGATTTATTATTGACACTCATAAATGGCAAATTAGTTTACCCCTCGAAAAAAGAAATCGAATCTTGTTCGAACTTGAAAATATCAAATCTCTGAATAGATTTACCGTCAGAAGATTTGCTCAGTTAATTGGTTTATTTATATCAGCTTGTCCTGCAATCGAATATGGATGGCTCTATACAAAACAACTAGAACGTTGTAAATTTCTCCAATTGCAACAATGCAAGAACGATTATGACAAATACATGACCTTACCTACCCCACTTTTAGGTGATATTGACTGGTGGCTAAAAAATATTCCAAATTCCGTTCACAGAATTAGGAATGATCTTTTCGCCACAGAGATTTTTTCTGACGCCTCAACAACGGGGTGGGGCGGAGCTTGCAACGGGCATACAGCTAATGGCCAATGGTCTAACAGTGAAAGTTTACTTCATATCAATCAGTTAGACTTACTTGCTGCATATTACTGCCTTAAAATTTTTGCAAAAAATTACTCCAACTGCCAAATATTACTTAAAATCGATAATACGACTGCCGTGAGTTACATTAATCGCATGGGTGGTATACAATACCCCCACTTAACCCTAGTAACTAAAAATATATGGCAGTGGTGCGAAGCTTTTGTGGTTGCTTCTTACATAAAATCACGTGATAATTTTATCGCCGATAGAGAGTCAAGAAAACATTATCCTGATGTCGAATGGGAAATTTCTCATTTAGGATATCAAAAAATTGTAGAAAAACTCCGATTTTTCCACAAATCGATTTATTTGCCACTCACATAAATAAAAAATGTGATACTTATGTCTCCTGGCATAGAGACCCAGATTCATACACCATTGATGCCTTTACTTTAGATTGGTCTAATCTCATGTTTTACGCCTTTCCACCTGTATCTATGGTACTTAAAACATTAAGAAAAATTATATGTGACAAAGCGGAAGGTATCGTGGTTGTGCCCAACTGGACTACGCAACCATGGTACCCATTATTTTTATGTTTACTTAATTCAGAAACTATTAAAATTGATTCCAATAATATCCATGTACCAAATTCCAGAAACCGGAACATTCCAGCTCTGACTACCCTGGTTGCAGGAATATTGTCAGGACAGCGTTACTGCAACGTTGCATCCCATCATCTGCATTAGACATCGTTCTCGCATCACTATCGGAAAGTACCCTAAAACAATACGACGTATGTTTTAAACGATGGCATGCTTACTGCTCTGATAACAAAAAGGTTTCTAAACTATAGTGCTGAAGTGGTATCACTTACGCGTTACTACATGTGTTCAATTAAATAATATAACTTTACTAATCTTTTCGGACAAAGCACCTCGTATAATTATGATAGAACTTCACGTACAGGTAAGTTCGTTTAATCATTCATTATAACACTAGCAGTGACTTTTGCGGGTGTCTGAAAGCGTTGTCTATTTACCTAGGGTATATCTCCACATAAAACGCCGCAAATACCAAAGATTTAGCTATGTGGAACTCGGGCGAAATAGTTTCGCAAGTCGACCTACTTTGAGAGTTTGAGTTCCATCAATGTAGAGGTTTTGCTTGATTGACGCAAACAAGGGGCCAAGCGAGAAAGTTTGGCGTGTCGCCATATTGTAATGTCGTATATTTCGTAATATTCTTGAATCGGCTTTCCGATCTATTTCGAGTGATATGACGACTTATAACTGGGGCTTCATATATTGTTTTGATATTTATTTATTTATTCAATTTGAACGAACGTCGGTGACCTGTCACCAACGTTCGTTCACATATCATTATTAAACGTTAAAAATATGAAACTTAAATCATATTTACTTACACATGTGACGATATTTGAATTATATCAATATTTGAATTATATACCTAATTTATTTTCATTAGTTTAAAGCAACTGGGCTGAGTAACATAGGCGATGAAGCCTTACCTTACCTTTTTGGAAGAAGGTCAAATGATACTAGTAACTTCCGACTCGAGAATTTCATGATTAATACTGAAACTTAAAGATGACAGCGTGCTAACGATAGATTACGGTTGAATAAATTGTTGGCTGTTGTACTAAGCGACGAATTGAATTGTCGCTTTTTTTGGTGAATCCCACTAATTTTGTGTTTTGTTCCATTTGATGAAAGTTTCGTAGTTTCGTAATTGCATGATTTGAAATAAATCTAGTGTTCGCGCTATAGACGCTTGTTGGCCATAAAAAGATTCTTGTCATAATAAGTCTTGTATCTTGTATTAACTGATGTTTGTGCTTTCAGTCCCGAGACTATTAAAGCTTCATTCGACGCAGAAACGGTGGGCTAGCCAGAACCCACGGGTTTGGGCCCTCCGCTTTGGTAGGGCCGCGCATGTGCTCATGCGTGCGTTTAACTATGGTGTGTCATCTAAGGACCATCGAGGTTGCGGTGCGAACCGATACCCCGATGGCTGTCGACTGTGGTGAGAACCGCCCCGGAACGCGGGTGTACCTTGTGTACGCGTTGTGTTGGTCTCGCCGTGCCCGGAGGCTAGGGCGAACTAATGTGTTTGTTGCTACACTAACTGTGTGTGTAGTGCTATCCGGCGGGACCCCCGACGGTGGGTCTGGCGTATTGAAGTCCCCTTCCTTGACCGGGTCGCTGAGGACGTTTCGCGGGCGACGCTTGTTGACGCACGCGTTTAGATCGGGTTGGTAATTTGCTGCGCTTACCATCAGAGGGTTGGGATGATGTTCGGCTCTATCGAAGAATCGTTTAGTCAGGTCTTTGAAAAATTCGCGAATCGTCGCGATCATAATAAGTGGATTGTCTCAAGTGACTAAAGCTGAGAGAACTTTAAGAGGGCTTGTTCCGATATTTAGACGGATCATAGGGGATCACATCGACGTAAATCATCATAAATACATACCCTATTGTATACCATACCATATACTTTACATGTTCCATCCTCTCTCTCTTGGAGCGAATGGTATTGGCGGCAACAATAATAACTTTGAAAACTTTAGGGACAAAGCTGTGATTGTATCGGGCCGACTATAGTCTTTGCTAGCAGAAATCCCTTAAGGCCATAAACCTCCATTTTACAAGGCTGCATAGTGTACACTACACTTGTATACATTTCTTGTTTTTCCCGTCACATATGTGTAGAAAGTTCATGTAATGTACCTAAAGTTCGTTAGTAAATAACACGAGCCGATACTCATCTTAAGGTGAGTATTAAACGCAGCAAAATACAAACCGTAAGCACGACCGGTTATTAATTCGCGCATTAATTGCTCCGAAGCAAATACACCGGCTTGACATCCAGAAATGCACAGAGCTACGGGAGCATCGTGGTTCATGCGCATCATCGACTAACATGTAGATTTATAGCTTCCAACCATCGCTCAATCCTTGAAGTCGGCGTCGCGCCGCTACTTCGAGTCCGTCGCCGCGCATCCCAATCCGTTAGTCTTAGGTCACCTACAGACTCCTTCCGCTAGGAACGTTCCGCCGCAAATGGCGTAGACCACGACACGTCCTCGATTTCCCTGACAATGAGACGATTATCGCCATCGGCTGGATCAAACAGTTACGAAAACATAACAAAACACGTCGCACTCGCCGGCAATTTCGGCAAACATATACTACGTTTCGCCAAGTACTTGGCAGGTTTTCCCTCGTTTTTAATAGAAGCGTTCCTGGATTCTTCCGCCACTACTTCTCCCAGCACAAACGCTTTCCGAAGGGGTAGTAATGATAGCTATAGAATTTCTCCCAGCCAGAGCTACCGATCGAGCAAAGATTTCGTCCTCTCCGGCACCGTCGAATCGGAATACTAAACGAGTATTGAGTGATAGTCCAAGCCGAGATCTCGTACCGGAGGCCCTTTAGCCTAGTCACCCCATAAAGCGTCCGCTAAAACTACGGTCAGAGCCGAGGCTCCCTTGGGAACCCTCGAGCTTAACCGAGTAACCGAAGTTCAGGCTAGACGCCCTCAGCGCCCGGACCCCTCAATTCCGTGGATCTGTAAAGAACTCCTACGGCCAACAGTGGTCAATCCACCCAAAAAAAAAACTAAACTCACGCCGGTATGTGACTACATGGTACTTACCCGGACGAAACTGCCCATTCGTCAACGAACAAGACTGTTGCGTGACCCTACAACAGTACTCGATTTTTTATCAAATGAACGAGTAACACGATTTGTAAAGCTTAGACGGTATCTAAATCAATTGTTCTCGAAATCGTCGCTTAATTAAAACTTTCGCACGGCATCCAACGACGAACAACGGTCTTAAAACTGAATGTGTCTCAAAATTAATTTAAAGTTATTTACGCAGTGGCTACTGTACAGCCATGAATAGGTTGTGTCGCTGTTCGTTTTAAATGTAGCAAATTGTCGCACGCAATTGTTTATTTTTAAAGTTTCAGAAGTCGAAACGTGAATACGATAATACGAGTAAATTTCATTGCTGAATTTGTTAACTTTATTGTTAGCTTCAATGAGCTTCTCTTTGCGGTTCGGTCACTTAATGTGACTATTTTCGCAACAATTTATATAAGTGGCTTTGAAAAACTAAATAATTTAAAGTGTTCCACACATTGTGTGTAAAAGTAATAAATGTAAATAAATAAATAAATAAACAATGAAATAAAAAAAATAAGTGTATTGGTGTTAGTACATTAAACTACCCTCGTTCGGTACAAGGACAATTTTAAACTGGACGCACGTAAAATGTGAACGGTGCTTCAAATCCCCAATTTTTTTTTGTTGTTACCTTTTTTTCTATTTTTTTATTTTTTGTCAATAAATTTAAGAAATCCACTTAAATATTTATAAAATAAAATATCCTGCGTGTTTTGAAAAAATGAAGCGTCAGTGTTTGGGTTGTTATGTTGGTGAGCAAATGACTCGTCCATGTCTTAAAACGTTTTGTCTAAAAGCAGAAAAAATCTCTACAAAAAATACTGCGGTGCAGAATTCAGTTGCCGTGTCAAATGCCCGACGTGCTGCGTCTGTGTGGTACTTAAATATTTTTATTCTTGGATACATCTTCATCGCACATGACACTTGACTAGATATAATCTTACTAGAAAGTTAAAACTGAACCTGCGGATTACTGCAAGGTAGTTTCTCACCCATCAACACATATGTCACTAGTTTAACATATATGGTTCACAATCGAACATCGCTACGGTATATAGTATAGTCCTCCGATAATTAATCGGTACTTATGTTTCGGTACACATTCTTTTTTCCAAGTCCCGAAGGCTCAATCAGAACAGCAATCACATAATATTATGCCATAAATGATTAGCTGTTAATCACTTTTTAAACTGAGTTGGGC